CAGCTCCATGCAACGCCAGCTGTACTGTTGTTTTAATGTTGTCTCTCCGCTCAGCTGTACTGTTGCCTCTCCGCTCATATATGACACCCTCTATATGAATGGCACTACTGATTGTCACACCCACTGTCCGTATTGTCCGTAGTGGTGTCTGAGCAGTAATCGCCACGCACTTTCAGAATGTGGATCGCTCATGATTGTTCAATACATACAATACAATACGCCCATGTTCATACAGCGTGCAGAATCCAGATTCTATTGAGGAGAGTTGAGCCAAGTCACCATAGGCTCGAGAAGAGAGCAACGTGGAGGCCCACTGCCCCTTCCCCGGCCCCCACTGGGGGCGCCAGCCACTCCAACTTTTGACTGGATGTCAAGAGCGTCGCCACGAGGGGAACGAGTCGCCGGCCAGCCAAGGTAGCCAACGGCGTGTGAAGGTTGCCTGACCTCGAGGAAACTGAGATGGCACCAACGGAGGTTTTGTTAAGTAGGCGAATTCGAGCGGCAGCAACCTGGGCACCTTCACAGATAGCAGTGCCGCGTATCAGGGCGCCTTCGACGTTGAGCTGGGCGCCGATCATCAGGACGCCGGGGGAATATGATCCAATATCCCCCGCAAATATGTGCCTCGGAAGGGAGACCCAACCATAAAACTGAAAGCTCGCCGTATTTTATCCACTATTTTTCGAGCAGGTCCATAGATTTCCGTCCTCAAAAGTGCGGGGATACTCCCCAGTGTTTGAGTTGGATGGGACTATAGTAGCGTTTACACCGACAGGAGATTCCCATTGCCGGCTGTGGGAAACTACTGTCGGTGTAAACGCCATTCATATTTCCTGCGTCACCCCTGTGGGGACGCCCTTACTCCATGGTGCCGAGCTTATCAATTTGGATATCAATGGAATCAAAATCTCTTATCGATCGATGAAGAACTAAATTACCCCGACCCGGAGAGCGTCTTTGGAATCAAAGCAGTAGCACATGACGCAAGACTTCAGGCAAATAAATCCTTCTTGTCTGAAATAAAACATTTGTGTATTGATAAGCACGTTTTATAAGCAATGGTAGCAAGATTCTCCATGTATTTGGTTAGAGTGATAATTTAGTAGCAGATACTTACGGTCGCATTTCGTTTTTTTTAATTAATAATTTATATTCTCAGAACTAGCAACATGTCTCTTCACTCAACAATAATTACAAAAGTGAAAAGGAAATGATAAATTGCTTATATTTTGGTGAAACTAGAAATTAATTCAGCACACATTTTTTTACAGCGTTGAAGTCCAGCTCCAAAGGACAGCTGACGATCGTAGCCGAGCAGGCTGTTTGGTACTTCTTCACTATTTCTTAGAAGTACCCGTTAGTACCGATCATGTCTCACATAAAAAGCTATTGGAACAAAAATATGCATGTTCTTCTAATTATTCTCCTTTTACACTTTAAATAAATACTTTTGAAATGCATATACTAATTAATTTCACAAAAACGGCTTGAAATTTTACAACGTCAAAATACTTATTCCAACTTCCACCATTAAACCACCACTATATTACTTGCTTACAGAACCATGCGCACAGTGCGCGCAGTTTTATCGTGACGTCAGAAGGTGCTTCCTCAGTGGCGCCCCCTGGCGGGGAACGCGTGCAAAAAGTCCAGCTCTTAGGCATGTCCGGCATTTGCCCCTCCCAAACGGCATAATTTTAATATTACGCATATGGACGAGGCATGGAAAGAATCGATAAATTGTTATGGTTTGCCCCCCCCCCCAAACTCTGAGCTGGATTCGCCACTGCAAAAGTATGATGAATGTTGTGATTTTTTTTTTTGCTTCACACTTTCATGTTACATGTTAAGATTTTTTGGAACACTTTCAATATGATTCACTTAGTATGCTTAAGAAGTGTGAAGTGATTGACTTTCATATCATGCTCTGCTCACTGTCTCAGCGGAGTAATATGTTCTTAACAGAGCACTTTCAATGTTTTTAGCATCTGGAATTCAAAAAGATGTCCTAATTTATTGATATCTTCACTTTCTTGATATATCTCAATTATCTGCTTCTGAAGGGATACATATTTTGTTCATTTTCATGTGTTTCAGGCTAATTCTTAATTTTCCAATGTTGGGGTTGTAGTTTTGCCATTGGGGTTGTACTTTTAAAAATTGGGGTTGTAGCTACAACCGCCACGGTATATAAAGTTCCGCATGTGACTGGAATTGAACTAACGGGACAGGCCGTGCTTTACACTCTCTCCGTATTTCTATACGTTTTTAAGACAGATAAATCAAAACATTTGTCATGCAGAAAAGAATGAGCTCAGTAGGTAGAAGAACAAACTAAAGGTACCCACATAGTTTCATTTTCTTGCTGAAGGGTACAAAACTAATTTCATAAGAAGGCGAAAGTCCAACTTAACGATTGGCTATGTTGACTCCCCTACACTTGAATTCCACAAGCTCAATAAGCGTGTTCTCAGACCCATACCGTTCCCGCTGGAAGACGAAACGTGCCAGTTCGGCTCCACCTGAACGGACGGCTGACATATATACAGAAACAAGGGTTCAATAGGCGAGCCATGGCCCATGGGTGACTGGAGAACACAGGCTGCCGATGGCGCCTGGACGCTAGCAAAGGGACCCTCCCACCTTCAAAAAAGTTAATGAATTGGCACGAAAGTGATGTCGCTCGGTTCAGAAAGAGCGAAAACGAATATCTACCAAATTTCATCGAAAAATATTCACCGGTTTTCAAGATATTAGACTTTTACTTTTGTTTACTTTTTGGGATCTCCGCTGTTCCTAGCGACTTTATTTGAAAGTGCGGCATTTGTTGCGCGCAAAGCAGCATGTACACCGCGTGCTACCAAACGTTTTAGTAAAAGATTTAAAAATCGTTAGATCTCCGCTGACGTCACAAATTCTAAGGGGGCATACCAATGCACTAGCCCCTTAGAATCCGAAAACTGCAAGTTTGAAATTCCATATCTCCGAATTAAAGCATTTGTCGATGTTGTGAGTGCCCAAACCGGTATTTGCAGGCCATGGCCACCAATTTGGCTATCTCAACTCAAAACTAATGTTAAGGTGGGAGTGTCCCTTTAAGCGTTGCTCGTCTCACGGCTTGCGTGGGTGTATGTTCTCGGCATTGCCCATCTCACGGTCAATGCGCGTGTAGTCTCACGGTTAGCGCGCGAGTAGTGTCTCGGTATTGTTCATCACCTCTCAGAGGATGATGTGCCAAAGGCTCCGTGCAAAGCCGCACATCTTAGTACCCATGTTATGGTACAAATTTCCTTCCCGCAATGCATCTTTGATCTCGATCCGCATTTTAGTGTTGCTTTATCTCGTAAAAATATCTTTTTACATAAAATTTGGACCTCAAATCATGCATGGTTAACCAAAGAAAGCTCGTTAACGGCACCCACTAATAGATAGGTTCCTGCTTAGTCCAAGAAATCATCAATCCTCAACCCAGCCGCCAGCCTTCCACAACTACCCCTCCCCCTACCTCTCCAACAGCTCTTTCAACACTAGTCCCTATTCCATTCCCTACGACCCCGGTACCTATGCATGCCTATACCGACAGGTGGTCCTGTGGATCGTCCACAAGCTGACGGTACTTACGCCCGCCCACAGACCGACACTGCAGGGTCCCAAAGCTACCTAAACATGTCCGTCTACAGGGTCCCAACGGTACCTAGTATGTACCTACAGTACCTACACCCGTCTGGGTGTGGCGTCCCAGCGGTACCTTATGTACATATACACCCGTCCACAGACTGTCTATGTACATACAGGGTCCCAGCGATATCTTCATCAGTCAAACTGCAGAGTCCCAAAGCTATATACACCTGTCCGTATACAGGGTCTCATGGGTACCTACACCTGTCCATCTATGGGGTCCCATGGCGGTACCCACACCTGTCCACCTGCAGTGTCCCAGCGGCACCGGTGTCCCGCCGCTCGTGTCCGCCCCCACTGGCACCTCCGCTCCCCCGGACCGACTCTGTTTGGCCCCGCCGATAAACATGGAAACCGACGCGCCGGCCGGCCGCAAGTGCCCCGGCCCGATCGGCCGGTAAGCTCACCGAGTGGCCGGCGCGGCGATGCAACAGCCGCGCCGCGGAGCGGTGATGTTCCGTACGGCGGCCAGGGGATCACTTGGTAAACCAGACGAGCTCGACACGTAGCTAATCAGGATGGGATCAGCACCGAATGGCTTCACCGATACCACCCACTAATAGGATGGGATCGGCTCCGAAAACCGGCGGCGCAGAGCGTGCGTCATATGTCACATGAGCTGTGGGGTGGTATGGCTGACAGGCATAGTTTAGGGCACGTCTCGATTGCAAGGTCGGGTGAACCGAGCAGCGCGCCGCATTATCAACGTCGCTTATGAGTTGGATTAGCACCGCACAATGTATAGAATCAATAGAAAACTAATCTACTTTACGTGCTAAAACGGACTTAAGTAGTGTCCCAGCGGGGGGACTTATTACCGCAATTTAGACTGAACAATCGTCATTACAAAACAAGCGTGTTAGGAGATTATGCTGACATTTTTCGATCAGTCTCCACTACTCAGCTGCTGTCTGTTTACCACAAAGCTATCGATCACATCTGGTCAGTCCTACAGTCAGTCTAGAATTAGGAGTCACTATCTTGGTAATGAGCGCGGCACCTGTTTATCAATCTTCCTCAACGCAGTTTAGGACGGTAGGGTACCCGCACGCGCCAAAGAATTACTGACAGATGACGACCATCAGGTGACATTTCGCAGTACTCGCCCACTTGTTGACACTTATCAGACGCGTACAAGCTGCATTTTGCATAACTAATAGCCATATTACATAAATATATGCAAAACAAATATCTTCAGAGACATGACATGACACAAAGACTGGTGTTCGCGGCGTTCGCCACTGAACGAGACCAAGCACGAAATACTCAACCTTTTAGCAAAATAAATGCCCATGTGTTACAATAGAATGTGCCGCACCTACCGTATCCGCAGACCTTCCACTCCTCGACCTTCCTCGGTTCAGTCCTCTGTTCTCCGTCTGATCCTCAGTGTCTGGGCCTTGGTCTTCAGTCCCCCGCCTGGCACCTCAGTCCAGCTGGTTCTCGACACTCAGCTTTCCACTGAGTCCTCAATTCTCCGTTCGTTCCGAAGTCCTCAGTCCTCCACCCAGTCCAAAGTTTCTCGCTCGGGCCTCAATTCGCACAGTCCCTACTCGGGACCCGGTCCTCCACTCAGTTCTCAGTTCTCCACTTGGTTCACGTTATTCAGCTCTCTGTTCGGTCCCCAGACCTCAGTCCTTAGTTTCCAGCTCGGTCCTCACTCGCAGTTCAGCCGGCGACCTGCGCGCGGCACACGTCCCCACTCGGCCCCGCTGCCAGTCACCGTCCAGCGCCGACTGAACTCCAGCTGGCACCGGCCGGCCCCGTCCGCTCCAGACGGTCCCACCGCCGACACCGACGGGCGGGGACGGGGGCGGACACTAGCGACGACCGGCCGGTGCGACGCGCGACGGCAGCCACCTTCGACAATCAACAGCTCTCAGTGAAGTATAAACAATCGGGATGCCGGACGGGTCAGCTCGGCGGGCGGGCGGCAAGTCTGTCTGTCTGTCTGTCTGTCTGTATGTCTGTCTGTCAGTGTGTGTATAGTTGTCTGCCGCGTAGTCTGCTGGGGGCGTGGTTGGATTTAGCGTGCCACAGGGGGATTGCTTGGCCATTGCAAAGCTCTGAGATCTAATGACAGCTGCGACGTCTGCCAGCGCTAAAATTGGCCAAAACAGTAGTAGCAATAAGCCCCGGGTTAGGTTCAACGTTGGTGCAATCTGATCGGTGGGTAGCGAGGTCGGGTGAGTGAGGAGGGGGGAGGAGAGGGGAGGTAGCTGTGACCGGAGGGGGCGGAGTGGTATTTGGTGTCACCCGGGAGAGCTCTGGGCACCCCCGCAGCGAGGTCGCCGCCCGCGCCGGGGAGAGGCGAGGAGAGGGAAACTATGAACTGCTGAAGCCAATCAACAGGAAATTTAAACGTTGGAGGCAAGGGGAACGTGTGTACCAATGAAGATGAATCCCAGGTGTGGTTTATCTGTATTTGCTCTGTTATGACTGATATTTCCGCTATATGTTGCAAGATGTCATGAACGAAAAGAGAAATCAGATTCCAGAAGCCCTAGCTTCGACAGTGGGTACATACCTAATGGGTATAACTCGGATGGGCTGAAACATCGGCGGGTGACCAGCGAGCTGAATATTCAGTTACCTCAAAGGAAAAAACATTACCTTGCCCGTGTGGCGTGATGCCGCAATGATCACCCGAGTCCCGAACGGAAATTTGTGACTGAGCCACCAGTGGAAGAGCTGATGTGCTTTGATTTAGACAGGAAATAATAAATAACACAAGCTTCAGGACGTCTCTTCGATCAAAATCTATTGCAAGGGCGTCGAGCCAGAGATCCTACAATGTGACAGATAACAAGAGCAGTTTTGACGTATTGCAGTTGAAGCTGGATGGCACTGACAAAAGGGAACTCGCTGCTAAGCTGCGACATCATGAGCAATAAAATCGTGACGTGAATAAATATTTGAACTAATATTAGTCGACGGAACACAACGACTGGTACAGAGGACTATATCCAGATGCATTGGCTTTATCTACTGTCTGCAACCGGATTCAGTTCATCACTCACAGTATACATTTGGGATGGGTCACGCGAGTCCGGGGGCGAGACTGCCAGCCGAGCTAAAATAAAAACAGAGACCACCGTTTACAACACCCGATGCACAAAACGTCCCAATGTCAACAAAATCGTCGCAGTAGCTTCCCGCTCTCCATTTTCCAAACAATGCCACCGACGTCTAATGTTGGACGGAAAGCGACATGGACAAACGCTGCAGAGTTCCGGATACGACCGGAGTTGAGCCGCGGCTCGGGTCCAAACTTTAAGCACGAATTCTTCTGCCAATTTAGCACAAACGTAGCGTTTTCTGTGTACTAATGTAGCGTTCACGGCTATATGGATTGCGATTCGGGCACAGAGAATGCGGCAGCGGCCGGACCCGCGGCACGGCGGAAGAGCGGCGGCTTCCGCTTTTCGCGAATTAACCATTCTGCTTCAATTGCCATATTTCAGGGGCAACAGACAGGATCTGAACGTGAACAGCTCCCGCACATCGCAACGACGGCTGATGAAAACTGCCGGAGGTGGACGCCCCCAATCGAACCCAATCCCGTAACTTGCACGACAGCGTGCATAAACTTTGCAGTCTTTGGTCGAATATGATTCCCGGCAACAGTTCTGCTGCTTACTAAAAGAACTTTTGACGAACCGAGTTTTGGTAAGCAGGTGGGCACCAATGGAAGGTTACGTTTTCGAAATGAATTGGTCTGTCATGGGTAGATAAATGGTTTTCACACCTTAGCCAATAACAATAAACTTAGCCAAGCAATGGTTTAAAGTCACGAGTTAGCCCCAGCTATTTAACTCAATAAAACTTTTTATTTCCAAAAGGCATGATGTCTTCATGGCTTGAAACTATCAAAACCGGGCAAATGTGAGCGTTGATGACTGATGTAGATGACTTCTGCCACCCTCCGGTGCCTATACTGCAGATAAAGAGATATCTGGCCGGCGTACAAGGGAACGCACTTTCCACCTGAAATGGAAATGGATCTACCAGAGAAGTAGAACCAACGACCATCAAATATGCGGAAGCCCTTGGCCAGTCCAAAGGGTTTCCGATACTTTTAGGAAATTTCTGTCACCGACTATATGGGCTTCACCACCCCATCCCACGGTCTTTCAGAGATTAATTTCACGGCATCGACTTTGTTACACCTTCCAGGACTGCATTTATAGAGTTTCAGACGAAAAAGAGGAACTGGTAAAATCCTGTGCCGGCTCAGTATTTGTTTGTTGCTGATCGTTATTATTTACGTGGCTGGGGCTGAACGTAACGCAGCTGTGGAGCCCGGTCCCTGTCGAGGCAGATGTGTGGGCTGATCCCTGATCCCAGGGTATCTGGTTGATCCCACATTACACTCCTGGCGTCTCCTATAGACAGGGCCGTGCCCCAGATCATCTATCGTCGCACGCCCTCTCCTGCTGGCAGTCCGTCGCCATTCCACAAAGTGACAAGCTGGGAGAGTGAGTGCTAGTCACGGCTGTCTGGGATTATAAACATTAAGTAATTTATACATTTTTAAGCATTATTACTTTTCAAAAATCACCACCAAACTAGCAAGAGACTGAAGAGCTGCGCCTGCGGCAAATTTCTGTCGGTCGTCACAGCGCTCAACATTCTCGTGCTTGTGCGTTTAACTAAGATGCATAAGTATTTAGTTCAAACACATTTGTAGATGAAATGTGTATTCCGTGTTTAGCAATGTCATGATGAACAATGATGAACAAGAACACGTTTTATGGTATTGCAGATGGTCAAATCCTGATATCTTATTTCGATGAGCAAGTGAAACATATTATCCATTCATAAAAATATTCTACGATAATACTGTCATGAAACCTCTTGTACTCTGAGCAACACCTTACGATTGCCCAACTACCTACATGAAATTGATTTTACTAGCTGTATATAACGACTTCATAAAATGTCGGCAACAAAGCACGACATATGACCATAATGAATCAATAAATACGTTAAACACGCAACTGTCAACACAAACAGTAAAATAGGACGTCAAACACGTAAACAACTCGCTGCATCAACGGCAGCATCACTACCGTTCCTCGAGGACGGTGCAGCGTTGCGCCAAGCCGGCCACTCTCTCGAGGATTTCTTTCGCCCTGAGACGGACGCGCACCGACGAACGTCACAGTCAGGTCGTGCGCACGACGCCGGGCGGCGTTCTCTGCCACTACAGGAGGGCCCTGACGGTTATCTCGCCGTAGGGCTCGTCCTGGCTCAGCACAACGGCCCTCTCCGCGTGCAGTTGCAGCAGGTGCGCGAACGTAGCGGCCGCCTGCTGCGCGCTGGTTGTTGACGGAGGCGCCAGTTGAGAGAACGACAGCGGGCCGGCGGGCGCCCAGCGGCTCAGCCAGTTGGGTACGTCCTCCGGTACCAGACTGGCAGAGCGGAACTGACTGGCCGAGCTGAGCAGCGCCGTCACAGACAGGAGCCGGAACGGAGCGGGAGGACACAGGACACACGTGAGGACGTGGTGAATGGGACACACAGATACACGGAAACATAGATCGGAGTCGAGGGTGGACCAAGTGAGAATGGGTAGGGTGCTTGAGAGACAGACGTCAGGCGGTGGCATGGAAAAAGATGGGATAAATGAGTGTAACTAGAGGCGGCAGGTGGATATATAGACGGAGCATCATTCTTGGCTGAAGACCGAAGTCTAAGCGTTTTTTTTTTCATGTCAAAACAAGTGACGCTTTTCCCCTTACTGATATAACACAACTTTTTTGACATAATTAGTGGTGTTTGTTATTAACTTAACTACAGAAAATAAAAATTCATACAGAAAATAAATGTTTCTCACCACCAAGTATGTAAATTGAACTGAACTGTTAAAGGGACCCTCCCACTTTCAAAAAAGTTAATGAATTGGCATGAAAGTGATGTCCCTTGGTTCAGAAAGAGCGAAAACGAATATCTACCAAATTTCACCGAAAAATATTCACTGGTTTTCAAGATATTAGGCTTTTACTTTTGTTTACTTTTTGGGATCTCCCCTGTTACTAGCGACTTTATTTGGAAGCAATAATTTGGCAGCCTTAAAGTGCGGCAGACGTTGCGCGCAAAACAGCGTATACCACCACGTGTTAACGATGGTTTTAGTCTAAGATTTAAAAATCGTTAGATCTCCGCTGACGTCACAAATTCTAAGGGGGCATTCCAATGCATTAGCCCCTTAGAATCCGAAAACTGCAAGTTTGAAATTCCATATCTTCGAATAAAAGCATTTTTCGATGTTGTGAGTGCCCAAACCGGTATTTGCAGGCCATGGCCACCAATTTGGCTATCTCAACTCAAAACTAATGTTAAGGTGGGAGTGTCCCTTTAAAGGGACCCTCCCACCTTCAAAAAAGTTAATGAATTGGCCTGAAAGTGATGTCGCTCGGTTCAGAAAGAGCAAAAACGAATATCTACCGAATTTCATCGAAAAATATTCACCGGTTTTCAAGATATTAGACTTTTACTTTTGTTTACTTTTTGGGATCTCCGCTGTTCCTAGCGACTTTATTTGAAAGTGCGGCATTTGTTGCGCGCAAAGCAGCATATACCACCGCGTGCTACAAAACGTTTTAGTCAAACATTTAACGGACGTTCGAAAGCCTGATGACGTCATCAGACTCCCGTAATGGTTAAGAGATAGGGACCACGCTGGTCCCACCCTGCAAGTAAAGGGAAGAAATTTCTTGAACACCATAAAGCTGCGGGGGTTGCGACCAGGATAAATGGTGGTTTCTGAGCCTGGCCGCAAACTTGGCTATCTCAACTCAAAACTAATGTTAAGGTGGGAGGGTCCCTTTAAAGGTAGTGTGCCAGCTTTCTTGGACCGTATGGAGTTAATGGCCCAGATAAGGAGAACCGGATTTTTAGAACTTATCCATACCTTCAAAACTCATGGAAACGTCTTAAATTCTTCAAATTTTGAGTACCCCAGTGCGAAATTCGCCCCGACGGGTTGTCGGTCGTACCCCAACCACATTTCACACCACTATGAACAATAAATGCACACACTGAAATCGCTATTACCGATATGCTCATCCAATCAAGTTTCGATAAACCCGCTCATCATCATCTCCTGCGGTTTCGAACACGCCTGTTAGGTGGCTTCTGATGCTCGTCGAGGTCGGAATTTCCAAATACGCGTAGTGCGTCGGGCCGCGCGCTCTGACTTCGGCCAAGAAAAATGCGTCAGCTGATCATTGTCATTTCTGCCACTTGCGTGTGGTGAAATGGGGTCATAACTTATAAGACGGCTTTTTCATATCAATTATTTTACATAAAATCATATTTCAAACCATAAATAATGTTCGACAGCCAAATAAAAGAAACAATACCAATACGGGCTTACAGTTTAAGGCTCGACATTGTGTTGTCTACGATTAGACAGCTGAGAACTCATTCCCGTACGTCGTATGATCGTAACACTATAATGACCTTTGCTTATTGTCACAAGTGCGCCGCATTCGCGATTGTTGCCCGACGCCTGTTTGCAGGTGAGCCCACTACAGTTGTTATACATATCTAAAAACCGAAAAACTTTTAGGCGAAAAAGGCACTATTCCAGGCCCATTTTTGATTTTTTTTTGCGATATTAGGTAAAAACAGAAGCTTCTTATCCTAGGAAAAATAAAATGGGAAATCTTTCAAAGGTGGCACACTACCTTTAAAAGACACCAAGCTCGATGTCCAGTGAAAGCATGCACTAAGCGAAGCTGTCCCCCGATGTCCTCAAGGCTGTACCGTTCTCAACTACAGGAAAACTGTCGGCAAGCTTTGCAGCCAACTCGATAGGGACCGAGAAACCGGTTTTACGACGTCCCGATACCGCCTAAAATGGAGCAAAGCATCGTCATACTCAGACAAAAGGAAACAGAAACGGCTGTGGAGCATGCCATTCCTCAAACATTTTAAATTTCGCCCGCCACCACAGCTGTATATTCTGTCATTTTACCGGCCCTCCTGACACGCAACAGGGAAGTGCGTGGTATGCGGGCGACGACCTTAGGGTGACAAAAGTGCGGCCGCCGTCCCGACAGAACCAAAGGAAACGCCTGACCACCGGCTAACCCGACACAGGCCGGGCAGCCCATCCGTGAACCACCACGAAATGTGACTGGGATGTCCTTATATGGGCATTTGGGCATAAAGCTGGCAACCATCACTTTAGATATCCACATTCAGTGATCGTTGTTTGGCGGGCTGTCATTGCCGAAAATAAAATATCAGGAAGAGGCACTGGGCGGAAAGGACGGTCTTAGGATATGTCAGGGCCGGTCGCTGAAACCCATTATACCCTGCCACGTGGGATTGCGGATTGCAATCCGTCGGTGGCATGAGGCACGGCACCGTCGCCGTGCGCTAGGGTCATACTCTGCCGTCTGACACCTGCCAGACTAGTCGAGTGGGAAGTCTGGCACCGGTGCCGTGCGCACTGCGCAGGCTAGGGTCATACCCTGCCAGCACCCCACGGTGACTCGTCGACAGGCCGCCTGGCACCGGCGCCGGCGCGCACTGCGCAGGCTAGGGTCATACCCTGCCAGCACCCCACGGTGACTCGTCGAGAGGCCGTCTGGCACCGGCGCCGACGCGCGCTCCAGCTTCCGTCGTCGGCACCGACACGACGACCGACAGCCGGGTAATCAGACCGACAGGTGGTCGGAGCGGGGCGGCTGAATGGGCGGCACGCCACCCGCCGTCCGAGCGGCGGCTCAGTGGGACGGCACCCACCGTCGGAGCGAGGCTGAATGGGACGGCACGCCACCCACCCATTACCGTCCGGACGGAGGGCCGTGTCACTGGACAGCGCCGCACATACGGCGGGGGAGGGGGAGGGGGGGGGGGGGCAAGGGGCGTGATGGTATGCACTCAATGCACTAATGCCAAGCACCCGTGCGATAATGAGATGACAAGACTCTCGGAATAAATTTCATTTTGAAAAAGAAAAAAATATTCCAGATATGTATATAAAAAGCTGTAAAAATTAGCAGTGATGACGACCCCTCTCCATGCATCAGAGATTGTGGCAATGGTCTCTCGAATTCGACCCTCCAGTGCACCAAAGGTAGTGCCATCGCTCCCAGATAATCCTCCAGTAAAACAACGGAGCTGCGTCTCATCGAGAACACTCAACACGCGAGGTTGCGCCAATGCCTGCCGCAGAACATAGTGCAACACCTACCCGTCCCCCTCCCCCCCTCTCTCTCTCTCTCTCTCTCTCTCTCTCTCTCTCTCTCTCTCTCTCTCTCTCTCTCTAACACCACGTGCGCACTGACCCGTAATACATGGGCGGACTCTGGGTGGGGGGTGCCTCCTCGCTGCTCGTGGTCCGTCCACTGGAGCCGCTGCGGTCACCCGCGCCTGCCGGACACAGGCACAGACAGTTAGTGGGGAGGAACGGGTAGGGGAAGAGCGAGCTGGAGGCGTCACCAGATTCACACCCAAGGTATACATACATAGAAATACAGCGGTAAAAAAGGGTCATTAATAGGGTATCGCGGCAGGTCGAACCAATTATGTTTTAATTTGCATTCTACGGACAGGTAAACACGGCAGGTAAATACGGAATAAACTGAAGAGGATTCAGATACCTGTTCATTATCATTTACCAGATAGAGCCGAATATTACGGAAATATGCGAAACAGAAACATACTAAATGTGTCGGTCAGCATATTTGTATCAACGGTGCAAACTACATCCATAACCAGATAGCCCAATATCTGAATTATATTTCTGTCAAGCAGACAGGCCCTCCAACTGACCGACATCAGCCGGCGCGGGGGCGGCGGTCGGTCCGCGGCGCTCCTCTGGTGACGGCCTCCGCTGGTCTCGAGGTGGAGGCGGCGGCATCAGCTGCTCCTCCATAGGTGGGGGGACGATCTGCTGCTGTTCCACGGGAGGGAGCTGCTGTTCTTCTATCGGTGGGGGGACGAACTGCTGTTCCATTGAAGGAATCTGCTGCTCCTCCATTGGCGGGGGAAGGAACTGCTGCTGTTCCACTGGAGGAACCTGCTGTTCCATTGTAGGGACCTGTTGCTGCTCCATTGGAGGAACCTGCTGTTCCATTGAAGGAACATGCTGCTCTTCCATCGGCGGGTGAACCACCTGCTGCTGCTCCTCTATGGGCGGGTGAACCATCTGCTGCTCCTCTATGGGCGGGTGAACCAGCTGCTGCTCCTCTGGGGGAGGAACCAGCTGCTCCATTGGAGGAACCAGCTGCTCCACCACCGGTGCCAGCGTCGAAAGCCGGCCACCCGGGGTCTGTTCCTGGTCCTCTACAATGGGACAGAGCGGGAAAGGTCAGTGAGATAGCGGACAGAAGTCAGAGAATGGGGAAGGTCAGACTGCGGGAGAGTCGGAGAACAGAGGCGGTTTAGAGAGCGGGGACAGGGCAGAGAAACAGGACCGTGAATACGGCCCACGTATTTCCGGAGGCACTAGGACACCGGTCAGGCTGTCAAAGGGTTGACAAAGGGTTGTCAACCCTTTGTTGTCAAAGGGTGACGTATTATACCTACTGGCGAAACGACTGCCAAATGAAGCCCAATGAAGTTCGACGATCCAGCGACATATCACAGCAAAATGATAAGTCACCGAAATTATGCATGTCTGGGAAAGACAGCGGTTTTAGTGATGCAATACCTACGGAATAAGATGGACACTAGACCATCCGATGGGATAAGCTTAACAAGGAGGACTGGGCAAAGAGAGTTCGGATTCGGCGTACCGGTGATGCTGGGCAGGTTTTCCGAGGTCGATGGGGTCGCACCAGCCCTAAACGAGAGCTGCTGGCCAACCGACGACCTGCAAGGTCAGAGAGGAGTGGGATGAGTCAGAGAGGAGTAGGACGGGTCAGAGGGGAGTGGGGCGGGTCAGAGGGGAGTGGGACGAGTCAGAGGGGAGTGGGACGTGACGATGCAGGCCGACGATCGCTAGACACTGGCATCCTGCACAGCGAAGCTTCTCGCGCCTCAGCATCGACCCGTACCCGATGGGCTCTCACAACCCTCACAACCCATCGCTATGCCTTTGGAGTACACCCTACCCAGTCGACCCAACGCTAAACAGCGTGCAGCTCGGGACAGGATAGTAAGGACATCTGATCAGGTAAGGCCAGCCTGTCCCTCTCGTGGTAAAGGCAGCTCAGTGTCACCCTCACCTACTTAGGTCACCTCAGGTCAGATCAGGTCGCCCCCACTGCTCACCTAGCGCTGGGCAGGTCGGAGGCCGACAGCAGGGATCCAGACCCGCTCATGGTGCCCGTCCGATCTCGCTGTGCCTCCGGCTGCGGCGGCTCCGGCTCCACGGTCCGCTCACGACGACGCTCCGCGACGGCCGGCTCCTGGGAGACACGGGGACAGCGACTTTTGGTAGTCGTAGTTTGATAGACTTTTGGTAGACTTTTGGAAGCTTTGTGATAATGTTGTTCAGCGAGATATAACATGGCGATATGAATATGAACAAGGGCTAGGCCGGCAGTCATGCAAGAGGGATGCGTCATCCCACATATTCAGTGCCTACCTGCAGCGCGGCAGAGCGCCGTGTATCTATGCCCGCATCTACATGCATGGTACAACATGGTACATGATGCGGCGGTGTATCACGATGCATCGATCGGTATCGGTGTATCACGCTGTATCGGAGTACACCTGCGCGGCACAGTGCCGTGTATCCGAACCTACCTGTGCCTCGTCGACGTGCCAGGACCAGTCCCGCTCGGGCCGTGTTACGCAGCATCTCTGGTGCAGTCTGGCCAGGGGACCGCCGACCCGGCGGCCGGGCCGCAGCAGCAGCTCTGCCGCTGGAGTCAGGCGCGCGCTGGGTGCCTCCACGTTGTCCTCGGTGGCTGTCTGTGGGGAAAAGAGACACAATAGTGCGGGGATAAGTCGACATTGGATTCACGGGAGCAGAGAAAGAAGGACAGTTAGGTATAATAGCCACAAGCATAGCTTTATCAAGTGACGGTAAAGTGCCACTCACCGCCGCTCGCAGTGTGTCGTACGCTCCCTCGTCCATTCGGCGTCGAATGGCCTCCCTGTCCAGCTCGATGGCAGAGTCGACAGCGAGACGACGCCGGCGACCATGGCGCACCGGCGGAGCCGGAGGCGGCATCTCCGGCAGCTGCAGGGAGTCTGACGGACGCTGAGGGTCGCAGGTCACAGGTCAGGTTAACAGGCAGAGTACATCATCTCAGTGTGCACGTCAGGATACAGGTAGCATTACATTTCGGCTGTAAGGTGAGAGATCAGGGCACACGTCAGATCAGATATAGGCAGCTGGCGCTGCACATGTCGTCAGGTGTCCGACAGATCAGCTGTTTGGGTATATGCTTAGTTTTCGGTATTTCTACGGCGACAATTGACGTTTGGAGTGACTTCGGTGTTCCAATGATCTTCAGGAGACAGGAGTCGTTATCAGTACCCACCTGTTCGTCAGCTGACCGCGGCTGTTGCTGGGGCTGGGGCTGGGGCGGGGGCGGGGGCGGGGGCGGGGGCGGCTCCTCGATGGTGACGTCAGCGGCGGGCGGCGCCCGGCGGCGACTGGGCCTCCCGGCCTGCGGCACCGTCCCATCGCCAGCGCGCTGCGGAGTCGCCTCGATCTCACTGACAAAAAGACCAAATTGGATGACACTGATCAGCAACAGTGGCAGGGAGAGAAACGGGGACTGAGAGTGGGGGCATGTAGCTCATCCTGAGATCATGGTTCTTATTCTAACGCTGTTTCACAATGACGGAGATGAAAGTGCCACTACCAATATCAGAAAATCACCGACTACCAGCCTGAAGCCGCCCTAGCCACCTCATCCTTCCCCACCCCACACCACCATGCCGTCCGATAGGCTCCAACCCCAGCTCCACTCACGCCTGTATTGTCGCGGCAGGAGCCGCCATTGCCGGTAGAGTCGTCTCCTCAGGAGGCGGCGGCGGCTGCTCTTCTCCAGCCCCGGGCGGGGGCTGCTCTTCTCCAGTCGGGGGCGGGGGCGGCGCCTCCCCCTCCAGGTCGCCCAGCAGGGGCACGCCGTCACCTGCGCCGCTCGCCCGCGGAGAGTGGACACCTGACAAGAACGTCGTCAGATGCATGTATTCAGTCCAGGATGTGGTTCCATATTTTTCGTGTGATGAAGGCACACGAATTCGTGTGTTCGGCGCTTTGGGATATATTAAAAAGATCGATTGTCTTCGCTAGGAATTGGTTTTCGCGGATACTCGTGTCTCACTCAATAGTTTACGTTACTTGAGGGTTTTTTTAAGCTGACCAGATTGAACAAGGTTTCCTATTTCAGCGCAACTGAAGCCGAATCACTGACATACAGATTGGACGATTTAGAGCATGCTGTGCCCTTTGAAACAGCGAAGCCGCAGCTGGTGTCCGCTCGCTATATCCCACCTCTGGCGGCAGCGTTCAGAAGCAGATGCTGTACGGGCTCGGACGCCCGCTGCCGCGGCTCCTCAGGCGGCGGAACCTCCTCTGGGCCGGCGGCTGCGGCCCGCTCCCGCGGCTCCGCCGGCGGCGGGCTCACGCGGAGCCCGGGCGGCGGCGGGGGCGGCGGCGGCGGCAGCGGGCCGGCGGCCGGCTCCGTGTGCCGCCCGGGCGCCAGCTCCAGCTCCAGCTCCAGGAAGGGATCCACGGGTCGCTGATGAGGCAGCAGCGGCTCGCCAAAGTCCTGTCCGACGGCAGAAGAGGCGATACCAATCCGGCTACCAGCCCGGTTACCAGCCCAACTTACCAACCGACCCGGTTACCATGCGGCGCATAATATGATCGGACCGGTATATAACGCTCTTGACTCATCATCGTATTTTGTTGAAATTAGTATCATTATATGTAAATGAGGAAGTTTTGAATCATTTGCTGGACTAGCCGTCTTGAACTTTTAGGCTTCGGCAAGACGTTAGAGTCACGGGATGAACTGGTGAATAATGATAACTTTTACCTACAGATTGCGAGACATTGTTTTGTAGAGAAACAAACAACAGACTGCGCTTTAGTCTTCAGTTCATCTCCTTCCCTGTCCCGTAGTTTGTCGTCCCAAACTGACCCCGCCGTGCCGCCGGTCCCACTCAGTACTCACCTCAAGCACATGCTGCTGGCGCTCGGACCTGTCCTCCTCCCTAAGTGTGATGTCACTGACGCGGGCCAGGTTCGGGTTGTACGCCGGCGGCTCCTGCTGGCGAGGCTGACGACCGGCCGTCGCAGCCGTCGGTAAGTCACCCTCCTGCTCCGGAGGCGGCTCCTCAGGCACTGGCGGGAGGCAGGTCAGGTGTGTCAGTGGCTCCCGAGGAGTGGAGAGACGAGGTTGTTAATTGCAGTGTGTGAGGTTATCCCACAGAAACTACCTAAGGCCGGAACAGCACGAACGAGCATTGTAGTAGTACCAAACCGAGCTGTGATCGAACTGGTCAATGTTGTCACTTGTCAGTAGCATTATATCAGATGCAATCGATCACCTATTACAAACTGGAATGCAAATTGAAACTTGAGGTTGAAGGGACCGAAGGCAACTGAAGATGACTACTCATTTTGAATCAGCCAGGAACCCGTGGATTTTCCCTGAAAGCCGGCTAAATATAACAACCAATTTCAGCTGTCGGAACCAACTATATGCGCAAATAAATCATAAACGGCTGTTCCATTTAATTAATCTCAGACAGTTTTACTACTTCCTTCCCGAGCTCTGCGGACCTTTTGCATAATTATTGGAATAGCGTAGGATTTACTTCTAATGTGCAATTAAAAAACGCGTACCGTTGATTTTGTTTTTACCATATTTTCCTGAAAATATCATGCCGCGCATTTGCATGCAATATCATTACCTTTGCATTTGAAATCATGTTTTTTTCGCGGTTAATTAATTCTTCATTTCTTTCCGTATCGTAAACCTCGCCAATACCGTCGCCTACCTTCGCGCCGGTGGTACACGGAGCGATTTCGCTCAGCAGAAAACGTGCGCCGTTTTCGACCAACATAAGCTACCTCACCATGCGATTGCATACATAAAACGTAGCCGCCGCACACGAAACAAGGAATCGATTATAAAGTCAAGTGAGGCTCAGCAGAGAGGGAAAGCACCAGAGTGCCTGAGTAAGTTGGCGTGAGTCATCCAATCCTAGGACAGAGTGACCGGGGGCGGCAGGGAGGGAGGGATGGAGGGAGGGAGGGAGGGAGGGAAGAGAGAGAGAGAGAGAGAGAGAGCCAGAGAGAGCCAGAGAGAGCCAGAGAGAGCCAGAGAGAGCCAGAGAGAGCCAGAGAGAGCCAGAGAGAGCCAGAGAGAGCCAGAGAGAGCCAGAGAGAGCCAGAGAGAGCCAGAGAGAGCCAGAGAGAGCCAGAGAGAGCCAGAGAGAGCCAGAGAGAGCCAGAGAGAGCCAGAGAGAGCCAGAGAGAGCCAGAGAGAGCCAGAGAGAGCCAGAGAGAGCCAGAGAGAGCCAGAGAGAGCCAGAGAGAGCCAGAGAGAGCCAGAGAGAGCCAGAGAGAGCCAGAGAGAGCCAGAGAGAGCCAGAGAGAGCCAGAGAGAGCCAGAGAGAGCCAGAGAGAGCCAGAGAGAGCCAGAGAGAGCCAGAGAGAGCCAGAGAGAGCCAGAGAGAGAGAGAGAGAGAGAGAGAGAGAGAGAGAGAGAGAGAGAGAGAGAGAGAGAGAGAGAGAGAGAGAGAGAGAGAGAGAGAGAGAGAGAGAGAGAGAGAGAGAGAGAGAGAGAGAGAGAGAGAGAGAGAGAGAGAGAGAGAGAGAGAGAGAGAGAGAGAGAGAGAGAGAGAGAGAGAGAGAGAGAGAGAGAGAGAGAGAGAGAGAGAGAGAGAGAGAGAGAGAGAGAGAGAGAGAGAGAGAGAGAGAGAGAGAGAGAGAGAGAGAGAGAGAGAGAGAGAGAGAGAGAGAGAGAGAGAGAGAGAGAGAGAGAGAGAGAGAGAGAGAGAGAGAGAGAGAGAGAGAGAGAGAGAGAGAGAGAGAGAGAGAGAGAGAGAGAGAGAGAGAGAGAGAGAGAGAGAGAGAGAGAGAGAGAGAGAGAGAGAGAGAGAGAGAGAGAGAGAGAGAGAGAGAGAGAGAGAGAGAGAGAGACCCCGCCACTCCCCTGACTGACCGCCCAGCTGGAGCATGGTGTCGATGTCGTACAGCGATCCCAGCTGGAAAGGGTCACCGGACGGCACCAGGCTCAGAGGATCCACCATCAGAGTCACCCGGCGCACGTTCACGCTGCACGAGAACACGCCGGACGGAGGGGAAGTGGCGTCAGGAGACGGGATACGACGTGGTGGGCTACACAAGACTACTGATAAATCGATGTGAAATTTTGCAATTTGCATATAGCCAGAGCAATTCAGACATTCACACATCTGAAACAGGCATCCGCGAGGAAATTCTTGTGATTACCTTGAAATTATTTCAATCAATTGTAGTTGGATCTAGGTAATCTTCATAATCTTTCGATAACGGGGGGGGGGGGGGGGCGTAAGTGGACTTGTGTACGCATCTAAGTGCACTGAAAGCCCCAACACATTCCGCACTGCTACAGCCGTTTCGAGGACTCACGGGTCATCCTCGAGGCAGCCGCCGATGTAGGAAGTTTTCATCAACCTCTCGAAGGCGTTGGCTGCATCGCCTGTTGGCAAGACAGACCACTAGGTAGACTAAACGCACGTAAGCGTGGAACACAGTACAATTAGACGAAGTCCAGGATTAAAACAGCCAGGAATTTAGAGTCATGGTGGTAAAGTAAGATTCTAATTAAAATGACAGCGGTAGACTGGGACTAGGACTCGCCGTGTTGTAAATGAACTATGAAGCATATCCCGTATCGATAAGCGCTGAGCTGTAGGACTCACTGAGGAGGATGCAGGTCTGGTGGTGGTAGACGCGGACGCAGCCGGCCATCAGCATACTGGACAGGTACAGCGAGAAGCGCGGCCGAGCGCCGCCCGCGTGCGCCGGCATTTGGGCGCAGATGTAGCGGATAATGTCCTCGCTGAAATACGGGCGGCGCTGTTACTCGGGGCTCCGGGGGATGGGTCACGACGAGGCCAGATTCGTTGACAGAAAAAAACTGTCAATTATGATATTCTTGCAGCACGAAACCCGACCCATCTACTAGAGGTGTTTGTTCCTTTCACAGATGCCCGGTGTATCAACTACCGTCCCCGGCCATTTTTCCGTTTTAGGTGCGTTTAAAGTAAATAACAGTTATCTCAAGAGCCTGGTATTAACAAATATGGGTGCCTACTTACGTCAGCTCCCGGTCTAAAATATGACCGGTGTTTTCTACATGAGACGCTCGCTCACTCACCATGTTCTGGGCACATTGACGGCCATAACCTCTCGGAAGTGTTTGTCGGTCCTGCGCCGGTACTCGAGCCGGTCGTTCACTATCAGCCATATCAGCGAGAACTTGCCATTCCTCCGGTTCAACAACGAATAGTCAAAAAACATGATTGGAAAGAGTTGTTGAAATTGTTCGAATTAATCTATTTGATGATGATCTTGGATTCACTCCACCGATGACTTTCACCAATCACCTGAAATAAGGAGAAAAGCTAGCAAGAAACCTTTGAATACACAACCGACCCCGGCACAGGGACAAAGGACGCCCCTAGGGCATGTATAAAATAAATCGAATTACCGTAAGAAACAGTGAACGGGTATACATATACTTATAAATAATATATCAATGATAAATAACACATATCAATCAGAGCCGCGAAGTCGGAGTCGGGGTTGCCAAAATTTTACCACCTCCGTCTCCGGACCGGGATGGAGTCAATTTCGCACGGCTCAGTCATCCCCTACAGGCCCTACATAGACCTGTTTGCTGAAAGATATTACGATCGTTGATCTTTCGAAACCAGATTTTGTCGAAGCTAAGGTAATATTTGTTTTGACGAGCGATTTTAGCGAAAAGGTAGAAGACGACTGCGCCAGTACCTGCTTAAAGTTCTGCGTGTTTTAAAATGTAAGGTCTTGGAACGCGCAAAAAGTTATTTCACCGAAGATAAAAAGATATCCAACACGATGATAATTATCATGACGTGGGCTTAAAGAGAAATGACCGGATCAGTAGCGGCGGAACACTTTCAATCAAAGGGGGAGGGGGCACTGCCGACTTTTGGACTTTGGTCCCATTCTCTCCATACAACGCCAAAAGGGCTAATATTAAAATGGCAAAATGAAGGGGGCACGGTGGCCCGGTGGCCCCCGTTCCGCTGCCTATGGTCCAGATCCGGAGCAGGAGTCAGAATGGGAGTCGAAGTCAATTTTCGAAGCTGGAGTCGGAGTCGGGAGTCACAAAAACATCGACTGCGCACCTCAGGTATGTAGTTACATTTACATCGACTCCGGATTTTTTCTCCGTTCAAGCACGGTTTCGACTTTCGAAGAAGCGACATTGACATGCCATGCCACGACCCTCCAGACTCTTCTTTCGGGGAAATTCAAGGGCCGAATCGCCCGAATCTATCGACCCTTGAATTTACATACCTTTGGGCTTTGAATTACCCTTACCCTTGAATTTATACATTATATACCAATCTATCCCCAGTCCCCACTCCTATCCCGCAGACAGACCACCGTTCTGGATCCGCCCAGGGTTACTTTTACAGGAAAAGTTGAGAGGGGGAATAAAGTTCGGGGCAAAGGCGGATCCAGGGGCATCTGAAAGGGGGGTGGGCGGCAATACCATTAGGTTTTTCGTTAGGATGGAGCCCGCAGAACCTTACCTACCCCCAAATCCTATTCTTTCCTCGGGTTTCAGCCACTTTATTTTGGAAGGTTGCCAAAAAATAATTTTGCTAAAAAATATACGCACCTACCTTGGCTGTAAGGGGCGGGGGAGGTCCCAACTTGACTGCGCCCTTGCAAATGCCAATCAGTAGTATCAACCTATCAGTGGTATCAATAACTAGTAGGTATACCCCGGCCAAACATTAAGTAACGCCTTTCTAAAGAGAGAGGTTAATCCGCGCCCTGATTGGAGGTCATTTTGGCCCCCATGTGGGTTTTCTTGAAAAGCGAAAAACGGCGGCGCGCAGCGCCGCCAAATTTTTAGTACCTTACCGGGCATCAATTTGAAACCTTCGCACAAAATTTCAAGTCTTAGGTCACCTTAGGTCAGGAGTAATTGATGTCAAACTGTTCGAGCAAAAATGAGCAAAAAACATGAAATTCTTAAACGCTCACAAAAGCTACAGTTAACGAGCAATTCCAAAGTTCTTTGTGTGGTCGTGTATGTAGAGAAACGACGGCGCTACAAAACTGCAACCTCTACAACTACAAGGTGGGCAGTGATATCCGAACAAAAACTAATGAAGCACAAAACTTGAATTATTACTATTAGTATTAGTGAGCAGTGAAAGTTCCATTGGGAAAGCCGGCTGTGATGAGGTACATTTTTTTTGCGCCCTGCTCTGCATGCAAAGCAGATGAACGTGAATGCTGCATAAAGAGAAAAGTCATTTATTACTCAAAGCTTTAATGCCTATGGGACAAAAATAACGTTGTTTTTCCTTCAATGATTCCGGTTTGGAGGATGGTTAAACACGGCCATTGTCATATTGGGACAAAAATTTTTACATGTCTGGCCTTGGCGTCGATGAAAAAGTGAAAATAATCGTGAATAAATGGGTCGTTTCTGAGAAAGAACACAGAATATAAAAGGGGGTCCAAAAGGGGGTCACCTTCTTTTTGCGTCAAAGGAGGGGCCATGGCCCATTGCCCCCCTCCCCCTGTATCCACCCTTGGTTCGGAGAGGTAATCCCGTCCCCCGCCGGTTTCTACGCCGACGCCTGTACCGATATGTCAGTGATTGCGAAAAGACGGAAGAGACAAGACAAGAGACGGTCCCACCGACTATCCGATCGGTATCGGGTCAAATCTGGAGTTCCTGCTGCACTGAACGTAAAATGGTTGGATGGAACCGAAAATTGAAAATTAATAATTATCTTAACGCCAGCAACGTTGATTGATGACGAGAATCTGATTAACGATGGCTATAGAATCTGAATAGCGAATTGATTGAAAATGGGCTCCAAAATAAATTTGAAAGGGGGAAATTCCCCTTTCCCTCCCTAGCCGTTCAGACACGATTTGAAAGGGGGAGCGGAATTTTCGAAGGGGGGAAATTCCCCTCTTCCCCCCCTTTAAAAGTAACCCTGGATCCGCCTATGGTAATATGACACCAAAATGACTAAAATGACAGCAACTAGCCTTCTTTTGGATAAGCAGGATAGTAAAGACGACATTGTAGACGACATAAAAAGCCAAAGATAGTAAAAATAAAACCATCAATACAACGAAATGCCTATTGATTTCGCGCCGCGCTGGCGCAGGATGTCGCGCCAAATGTTCTTATTTCGATTGCAGGCTTAGGATGGAAGCGCATAAATTCAAATACCTACATAAACCGTCTCTCAATATACCCTGGAAAAATCAGCTTCCACTCCGAGCGAATTTGAGTGAAATCAATTAGACTAAAAAAAAAAACAGATATAAGCCGCCAAATAAGCCGCAAAACACACACACTCCAAAATTATTCAAAACTTTTGTTGACAAATCAACCGCTCATGACTTTCTGCTCGTCAAGTCTTTTAAAAATAAAACGATGGGTATTCTGCCATGAAATCAAATCCAAAATGAATAAAATCAAAACTATTTTTAGATTAATTTAAACCTTCACTTCATTTAAACAATATATTTGCAACGCAAAATATTGTAGTTGACTTCAAAACACGTCGTAACTTATTCCGGCCGCGCCTAATTTTAAAAGGGGAATATTTGTTTCTGGTCCCTAAAAAGCTGTTTCTGGCACCTAATTGCTGATCAGCCCCAAAATGCTTATTAGACCCTAATATCTGAATCTGGCACCTAATTGCTTCCACACAGCCTTAAGTTGCCAGATCGTCTAGTTGAACTCCGTATTTGCTGTTTGCTGATTCAGCACCAAAACCAAAACATCCAGCACCTATTTTATTCCACGTTTGCCTACCTAATTCGCGTAATCTTCCTGATTTTATGTATCCTAACAAACATGGACGTTGCATTCGGTGATGTCAAGTGCCATTTTCGCCAGTGGAGATAATGATTAATGCCATTTCTAGCCAAAAGAGAATCACTAGCCAGTTATAATGGTGCAGCATAGCAAGACGCTCCTATACCAGCCCGCTATGTAGAGACTAGAGATTATTGCACCCTCAGCCATTTTAACGTGAAAAGTTTAGATCCGTCACTTCCAGCCAGGCTCTCAGGTCATAAACTGGAGTAAAGCAAAATGTAAACTCTGAACAGACATGCCACGCTACCGGCCCTCTTTTCAATATTATTAGCTTTCTGCAATCATCGTCTGACTCCATCTCGATCAAACGCAGCATCCGGTTTCTACAGGGGCGTTTGACTGACCGGCCACACAATAACCAAAAACAAAATCAAAGCTTCATGCACACATATGACATAAGTAAGAAACGGATGAAAAAGGCACAACCACGGCACAACTCTGCGCGGCAAACAACGGACAATGTCCCACGCAAGCAGCGTTACCGCTGGCGTCTCGCTGGTTTCCCCAGATTCTCACGAAAATTTCCCTTTTTTAAAAATCACTTCCCTAGATGCGGTTATTTTCATGGAATTTGATGTACTTTCCTCATTTTAACCATTCGTGTTATAGTCAGTAGCGGCGGAACACCTTCAATTAAGGGGGGAGGGGGGCACTGACGACTTTTGGTCCCATCTTTCCATGCAACGCCCATAGGGCTAATGTTAAAATGCCAAAATCAAAGGGGGGCACGGTGCCCCGGTGCCTTCCCCGTTCCGCCGCTTATGGTTATAGTCGCTGCGCCCTAAAACAACAATTAACTACATTCGGCGGCGGCGGCGGAGGTGACAGAAGCACTGGTGAGATCAGCGACGGCTGCGACAACACTGGCGAAGGGAACTGCAGCGTCGGCTGCGGCAAGGATTCAGCGACAGCTTTGCGACCCGGTCCAGTGATGCCAGTCCGTCCATCTGCAGGGAGTCGCAGTGAGGAGCCTAGCAGAAACCCCCTAGATGACCCAGACCTGGCCTACTACCTGCTGCCCCGCCGCGAGTCTCCACCGCTTACGGATGCGGACTCGCCGACGACGCAGCAGCTCGCCGAGCAGCTGTTATGCCTCTCTCCCAGCTTGGCACAGGACACGCCCCGACCGCGCCGCGCCCCAATGCGCTGACCGCATATGCCGCGCTCCTCGCAGAGATGCGTGAGAGCATCCGCGACCACGGCGCTGCTCCAGAACCGCTGTGAACGATCTGAACATTCTCGACTCTGCTTTGGTTCTGTCAATTACTTAAATAGTTGGTAGAATCACTGGTACCTATGTTTTCAATATATCTATTCAAGGCAAAAAAAAAACTACATTCTGTTACGTTAACATAAGAGATTCTGATGAAATTGCTGGCATATATCAAATTACTGTATGTGGTATAATATAATTGCTCGATATATCGCAAATTGTGGGGTGTTGCAGGACGCGGGAAACTGCTGTATGGGTAGCGGTAGTGCTGGCGTAAGAGACGAGTCGATGCATTATTTTGCACCGTCAGTTTGACCGAATGGGAGTGATATGCGCTAGACATTGTAAAAATTGCGCCAAAACAAAAATTTTGATGTAAAAAAATTAGCCGCACCCGAAATAGAACAACGCAGAAGCAGGCAAAAACAACAATTTTTCGGGTTGGTGGTATTTCCCTAGATTTCGTGTGAAATCCATATATCCCTAGATGTTCGCTGATTTCCATAGAAAAGGGAAATTTCCCTAGCAGCGGTAACCCTGCACGCAAGATCCCGCGTTTCTTCAGCGGCCTTGAACGGGATGAAAACATTACATTTCTTTTTTGGAGCTATTTGATGACGTCAAAAAATACAATACCCATTTCAATGGTCAAAATCGAGACAATTACTCACAAAAATGTTTTCCTTTAAGCATTACAAATAAATGCTTTTAAATATTTAAATGACATTGTTTTTTCAAACAAATCAATATTTTTTGCTTACTTAAACGTCATATACAATGCTGAGATCACTACGGGGCTGTCTTAGAGTGTAGCTGCACTGGCAACCTTTAGGCTAGACTCCAGGGGTCATTATACCAGAACAACATGATTCTACCAGCCAGTAGTTCATTTTTCTACTAGATTGGTGCTACGCTCAGCATTTAGGTGCCAGATTCAGAAAAAAGAGTAAGGCGTACCGATGAATAGGTGCCAGAAACAGCTAATTAAGGTCATTTTCCATGATTGGTGCTGGTATCCACCAAATAGGTGCTGAGGACCAATTCTGGGGCGAGTCAGCTTTTAGGTGCCAGAAATAGCTTTTCTGGGACGCAATTAAATGGCGTCCATTTTAAAAGAACAAGACTATATTAGAGCAGCAGCTTTTTTCAATTATGCAGTCCAAGGCTATGTAAACCGTGCACTCGTCAGACTGCAGTCTGATGAGTGTCATGAATGGGTGTCTACTGTTTATGAGCCCGCATGACTCCAAACTCGCATGACCCGCTAGGCAGCGCTTGCTACGAATGGGACTCTAGGTGCGCGACCTTGCCCCTGCCCGGTAAGACGCTAATAAGTAATCTCAAGTCTCAACCAAACATTGAGTGTGGTACAAATAGCAAGCGATACGAATCTAATGTGTCTATGCGCTTGCGTGGCCCTCTTTCACCCACTGTGGCTACTACATTCGAGCTTTAGTTGTCTCCCATATTTTCTTTTCTCGCTATCGCTACGAAACTTACCCGATTTCTGCAGGCATAGGCGGCGAAACGGGAGGGCACCGGGGCACCGTGCCCCCCTTTGATTTTGCCATTTTAACATTAGCCCTATGGGCGTTGCATGAAAAGAATGGGACCAAAAGTCGGCAGTGCCCCCCCCCCCCTTAATTGAAGGTGTTCCGCCGCTTCTGTCTGCAGGTACGAGCCTCTTTCGTGCAATTTCTATGCCTGCGACCTTTCGGCCTGTTACCGACAATTATAATGCGCGCTGAAGAGCATGAAGCATCCCCATCTGACACGCCACTAGCCATCATTCTATCGAGAACGCTTTTCCACCTTGGTGCTTTGGCGGTCAGTACTCGGTGCCACATAGATATCTCGTGGGCGTCAGCCAGTCGTCGACCTGGACCACCTCAGTGAGCATCATACTTCAACCTCATCAGTGACCAACGGTCCGGGATCTGGGTCAAGGTTTTGTGCATCGCACCCTAAACTGACCCAGATCAGACGCTTACCTATGCTAACACGATGTCTTCCGTCGCCTCACGTCGACCGCCATTCCACAGCTGTTTTACATGAGCATCGCGGTCATGCTACTCACGATTGCTTGCCGCTGTAGAACTACAATGCTCTCCAAGGTGTTCGTAACTCGCAGCATTATAACGCCGAATCGAATTAGCTGCACGAGGTATATTACATCCTGCTCTGGGAGCTGCTATTCACCGCATTAAATATAAAAAGAAATCAAGTACGCTCAAGCGTGATGTATTGCGAACATTGGCGTCATATAAAAGACGACGGGAAGACCGCCGGACATTGACGAATGACACTTGATGACACCTCCGCGCAGCGAGACGTGAAGTACCCCATCACACGCCGCACGCACTGGTCCATACGCCAGACACAATAAAGCACATATCCACGAACATCTCTCACAAACCACGAACAGCAGTGGCGGCCGCCATATTGGAGCAGTCCACGTTGGCCGCCATATTGAAACCCCCACCCCCTCAGGAGACTGTTTTGCTGAGGTTGCTGAAGCCGGCGCCGAGGCAGGTGAGCGTCAGCTTCCCTCCTCCGGTGTTGAGATCCTCTTCTTCCTCCGTGGGGATCACGTTCTCTATCCGGAATACAGTCTGGAATGAGTCCCGCAGGTGGCGCAGAAACTCGATCCTGAAAAAGAGGGGGACCCCCGGTAGAGCGTCAGTGCGGCTGAGAGACGGTACAAGCGGCTTAGTAAGGTATCGGTTTGGAAAAAATAACAATGATAAATATTACTGTCATATCATGAAAATTATGGTGCATAATAAATATTTTATCAGCATCAAGTTTAGTAGAGCTGCAAAGCTATAGCAGTTTAGGATTTCATGACCGCCGCAATATGTAATTTGGTCGCTAGCTGTAACTCGTAACAATTTGCCTGAAAGTTTTACTTTCGCTCAGAGCACACTTGTCTTTTTGCCTCCTGTCATCAACAGATCACCAAAAGTCCACTGCTCGAGTTCATCAGAACACGCGCTGTTCCAGCTCCTTCACCACACGTCCGCCACCTCTACAGTACACCCCTCCCACAGTGACGTCACAGGCCCAACTCACGTGTACGGGGTGAGCTGGCCCAGCTTCACCTTGGAGACATCCTTCTGGCCGAGCGACATGTAGAGCAGCATCATACTCTGAGCCAGCGAGTCTACGCAGCCGCCCCTGCGCACAAAGGAGCCAGATCATGACCACCGGTTAACAACATACCTCAGACTGCGATAAAAAGGTACACCCCAACAGTTGGCTGAACAATGAA